TACACAATGGCACATCATCATGTCTTTTTGTTCTTGCTTTGTCCAGCCAGTATTCGTGTCAAATTTTTTGACATATTAACGGATTTTTTTTGTTTAATAATTCTAAAACGATCAAAATGTCGTAAAATTGTGTGTAAAAGTTGATGAGTACTCAACTTTGCGCAAATTTTTTATTGGATTCTACAAGTTATTGTTAGTATGACCAACTTGAACGCGAATTCTGAATTTATTTTATCAATTTCAGTTTATAAAAGAATGAGAAGTTAAAGTGATGTAGCATTAAAAGTATATTCCAGAGTAGAAGAAATAAAAATAATTTAAGGCTTGCTTTATCTCATTAAATTCAGTTATTTTCATTTTAAAACAATTCAGTTTGTTTCCTTAGTTTAGGTCTTTGCTATAAACCACCTTTGATCATTGAATAAAATAATAGCTTCTTCTTCCAATTCTCTTTCTTTTCTCCAGTGATCTCTCTGTCTTGTTCATCTCTGGTTGCTTGTCTTCGTAATAAAGCCATTTGAACACAACATGACTTGTGCACTTAATGACACCCAACTATAACTAACGGCTTTCTACAGCATCTGCCTCGTCTTTCCTTCCACCACTACATCTGATTATTTTTTTCTCTATTCGTTGGTGTATATTTATCCAAAGAGTATCGAATTAAATAGAGAAATTCTTATTAAGAACGTAGAAGTTACTTTTCACATGGACTAACTCAATAGGAACTCAAACTCTATACAAGAGTATAATAATGGTACAAACACCATCATCTCATACCAAAGATCCAATATTGACTGTACCAGAAACATTACGAAAGACTAAACTCTTTTAATACATATGCATAAACAGTTCAGTGCTCCATCTTTAAGAAATAAATGATTTGCCTACAACATGAAACGCCATTTTCATCTTCAAATTCTCATCAATCTTCTAGTCTAGACAGATACTGTTTCCCAAGAAAGATTCAGGCTACAGAAATTGCCTGAGACTGATGAATCTTAAGGTGGGAGGACAACCTGCCGGTGTCCCCCTTGGTAGTGCCTAAAATAAGTGCATTTTATTGGCAGTTTCCAGTGCCAATTCCAACACATTCTCCGTCATCGTCAGTGTCTGGTGTAAAATTGACACAATAAACAAGTAGATTCTTGAGTAAGTACATAGAAAATCTGCAAGAAAGACAGTATCTTAAATTCAACATCAAACGGCTTTATATAAAACATTGGTCCATACCCTCAAACACAGAACAAGTTACATAATTCAGAAATTGTACAAAGAACAAACATTTGTCCAAACAAAAACATCTCACACAAAACGGTCCAATTTCTATGACACCATATACATTACATATGATTAAACTCGGTTTAGAAAATCTGCATAGCCAGTCCACTGCTCCAGCTTCTAGAAATTTTGTTTAGCCAACTCAAATGACGGTATAGATGTGCTGAACGCTATTTTCACATTTAAGGTCACATATATTGCCTGGCTGAATATTATTTTCCTTACAAAACTGTTTCCATCCACCTAAAAATTTAGTAACACCCAATGTGTCAGAGTAGCGCATAACAGGCCAGAGTCTGCCAACTGAATCTCTAAGGAAGATAAGCTGCTTGTCCCCACCCTCATCTTTTCCTCCAATTGGTGGATAAGATATCGGCAAGTCCTACAATATCACAAAAAAGATGTCAAGAATTTAATGCGTTATGGTGTAAAAGGCATCCGGCTGCATTAATGAAAAGGAAAGATTTTTTTATGTTAACCTCCCTGTCTAAAAACTTGAGTTATTTAGAAGAGGGAATACATTTAATTATTTAAATTTAGACTTAAAGATTACCCTCACATGCGCAAATTTCATAAACTAGTAGCTAGGACACATGAATACAATTCATATGCGTGCTCTAGTACCATGTTAAAGAGCATCATCTAAAAGATTAAGCTGTTGGAAAGGGGAGAAATTTATTTTATTTGAATTTAGTCTTTAGCCCTCGACTCCAATCTATGTGCTCGGCGGCCATCTTTAACTATACAATATTAGAGATAAACCTTAAAAAAGAAACGACATGTATACAATTCGAACAACACGTGGCATATCAGTAAATGAGTAATTAGCCGCGGCATTACAACAGAAAAATGCATATTTGTCAGATTTGGTTTTCCTGTACGTAGAAAACTAAAAGGTTTTGCTAGTTTTCATTAAATTTAGTAAGTAGTCCATTCCTCGTATATTTGTTTTTTAGATTAAATATCACATGCATAATTCCTGAATTAATAGGCTACGCAAATAGTAACTACATCTACATTGACATTTTAATTCATATATAAGAATATATCGATCATGTGATTATTGCCTTGATAAAATATGATGAAAGTGTCGGTTTCCATCATTTCATCAACCAAATCTTCGATATCTCTACCAGTATCAATGCATTGGGAAACCTAGATATGATAACCCTTATCGTAATACTAAGTATAAGATAGACCCACCTTAAATGGGATAGAACTGCAAACAAATAAGCACGAAAACTTGAAGTACACAAAGTTCAGAAAATTCTAGTTTATCAATTGTTGATTAAGTTTCACAATAACAAATAACATACCTGGTAAGATTGTATAGCAGGTTCTGTTTTTACGATGATGTTGATATCTTTCACGGCTTGCAGAGGCATTGGAGCACATTCAGTTGCCATGTTTTGATCTTTTCCTGTATAGAATCAATGAATTTGACATTAAATTTATATGCTTTAAAGTTTACTTATTCATCAAAATTTGTTCCGATAAGCTTTAAGGTACATGCTCATCAAAATTTGCTGCCAAACATTTGCATAGACAATTAGACGCGCCTATATGCAAGTATAAAAATAAAAAGTAATTTTAGATCAAAATGATGACAAAAGAGCAAACCTAATACCCACCACTAACAGTTTGAGGAAGACCAAAAGCTACCTCTCCCATCTCAACTAGCTTTTCCTTAACATCTACCGTTTGCCCACCTGTTTAATTTGACAAAAGTCCAGAATGAACCAACGGAAGTCAAACAAAACATGGCGGATGAAATGACACAAAATTCAATGAACAAGATTTTTGCATCTTTTTCTTCTTAGTAACTAGGTACATGTTTGGTATTCAGTCTTAGATAGTACTAGACGCTACAATGAATAATTCTTTTCTTCTTATTATTTTCGAATGCTATTTAATCAAGCTTACCGAACATGCGACATACGCCCAGAACAAATTATGCAACAAAAAAGGAACACCAACCTGATGGATCCTTGACCAAGGAATAGGAGACTGAACAGTCATAATACTTGGGAACCACAGCACCCTCGCTTCCAGCTATTTGACCACCACCTAAAGACAGAGCTTCATTATCTGATGAAAGAACACAGTCATTGCCTAATTTATCAGATTATCAAATGGTTAACAATAGGACCAAAGAACTAAAAATAACATAACAATTAAACTACGACATTAATCAAAAATTAGAAACAAACTACCTTGAACTGCATTTTTTCTCTCGTCATTTGATGTGTCCTTTCTAATTTTTCTATTTTCAGCAGACTCTGTTGGAAAAGAGCCGAAAACATCATTATAATGGTCAATAATACAATCTTTCTCATTCTCGGCCATTTGAATTTCATTAACGGTTGATTCAATCTTATCAGGAACTGTTTCTCCACCTAGAGAAGACATCTTGCTTTTATTGGGATCAGATTCGTTTCTCCCCGTTTCGATTGTTGACAAGTCTTTTAAATAGGCTCTATCTTCTCCTTGATTGTATCCAGTATGACTGTTGAGCATAATAACTGAATAATCCATGATTATATTTGTCGGAGAAAAATGCCTCTTTTCAAAGTGACTACCATAATTTGAAGCAGCTGGTGGTTTTGGAACCCTTTGATCGTGCTGAAATTCTGATCCAGATGCAACTAAAATTCTTGATCCGGGCTTACCCCTTGGATTTTTTTTAAGTGTTCGAAGTGGTCCATCCGGAGTAATTGTTTTTTTTTCTTCTTCCCTTGACCTTTTCCCCAGTCTAACCTTTTCCCCAGTCTGCCCCTTTTTCCCTTGACCTTTTGAAAGATTTTGATCATGCTGAATTTCTGACCCAGGCGCAACTGAAGCACTTGATCCGGGCTTAAATTTCAATCTTTCACACCCAGTTCTTCCATATATGCGGACGGCAAAGTGACAACCCCTAGTGTAGGAGAATATCAAAAGTGCTCCAACTTCCAGATTATGGTCTACCGCGAATTTATGCCATCCATTCTGGATGGCTGGGTAACCATCAACAATTGATACCGTTACCGGCCACAGTTGCTTGGTTGAGTCCTCTAGATAACTTGGTTTACCAATCACATTTGGTTCTTTTTGAACAAAATCAGGAGTCAAGTACTGCACGCGAATTAGAAAAATTTAGAAAACATGTATTTTTCCAAAGAATCGATGTCTGCATCGGCAAATTTAGTGTGTACCACATATGTTAAGAAAAATTCAGTTTTTTATAACGTATCAATGCGAACATAGATTTTTGGCACAAGACCAACAGAAAATATGCCTTCATAGAGAAAAGTAACCAAGAAATGGATTGATCAAGATAATTTTTTTTTTTTTACTCGTTTAGGCAAACATAGAGCATCCATGGAGTGACAATCATTTGAAGTTTGCAGTCATGATATGAGTATAACTGGATCTAAATTTTACACAATGTGCTGCCATGGGAAGAAACGTATAATAAAAATGTGCACAAAATAATTACACTGTTGTTGAACGATAAGAGTCAAGCAGTGAAATGAATTACAGCATCTGTTTAAATTGGGGTTGGAATGCCGAAATAGAGAGGCAGGAAACAGATGTTTGCCCTAAAGGTTATCATATAGGAAGCTAAAACAAAGCATGTAAAACATGAAAAATTATGGAGATAGTAAACAATAGAAACGGGTTTAATACCAAAACTTTTAAATAGTCGTCGTGGACCATGATTTTGAAGAAGCGGGTGACAGTAGGCGATGCTTTTTTCGGCTTTTGACGCCCTTTACCATCACGAACCATATTTTTTGTCCCGTGAGAAGTTTGTTCTGAAAAGCACCTGGTTTTCAAGAAGTATAATTAATTAGTGAATCAGAACAAAGAGGAGACTATAAGAAAAATTTACAGGGAAGTAAACTTAAATGCATAGAATTACTCATGGAGGAAAATTTCTATTTGATAAAAATATTTCCAATGTATAGTTTCTATAAGCGTGTTATATGCCTAAACTAAAGTAAAATGTCTTAAAAGTAACTTCTAAGCTGTCCTTGCCTCCCTTGACCCTACTCTTTCCAATCAATCTCGCCTCGTTATGGAGACTTCCTACTTAGTGTGGTTGATTTGATGAACCAAGATGAAAGCTGGAATATCGAGAAAGTTAACATATTTTTCTACCAATAACAGAGAAGCAATTATATCACTGCCTTGGGGAATCCCAGGTGTTAAAAACCTCCAAATGACACTTCGATTGCAAGGGAATCTACACTGTCAAATCTGGTCACCGTCTTGTCATGACTCTCAAAGAGATTTATTCGCAGGAAGCATCAAATCCATTACAAAGTTGGTGGCACTTTCTATAGAGGCTTAATATCCGAGTAAGATTAAAAATAGCATTTATGTATCAGAATAGTGTGTAAACAGCATTTATACGGATAGTGTTTAATAAAATACAGTGTTTCGTCAAAAAATAAAAATAAAAATAAAAAAGAAAGCAAATTTGAAGCTCAGCCAAACAGAATTATAGATTTAAAAAACATGCTTTAAAAGTTGTTCCTTCTTTAAACATTTTAGTAAAAAATTGACATTTTTAAAAAAGCATGTTCTTACCTACTTCTTAGAAAAGGAAATTTACTTCCTTTTTTTAGAATTGCCAAGCATGCTCTAATTAATATAGAGGGTTTCTACACCCATTCGAAGATTTAACAGGTAGAAGAAGAAGCAAACATAATTGCAAAAAAAAGTTAAAAAATCACTTTAAATCGAATCAATTCTCAAACAAAAAAACAAGAATTCTTACCCAAATAACAATGCAGCTGTTCACCTGCGTTAGTCATAAAACAACAGCAGTGTCATGCAGACATAAAACAAAACCCACAAACAAAAACACCAAAAAAAGAGAGATTTACTGAAAACCGTGCAACAATTTAATTTAAGCCAAAAAAATTTAGAAGAAAAATGAGCATGCAAATATATAAACATGGAGAACCGACCATCCCAAGGAAAAAAAAAATCCAAAAACTTGGAGAGATCAAAATGTAGAAAAAAATTTACGAACCTTTCTAGAGAAAGAGTGAGAGATAAGAGCTTTTCATTACAGTTGGGGCTGCTACTCTAGGGAGAATCGGAGAAGAGGTTTTAAGTTTTTATGCTGTTGTGAAAGGCGTTAATTATAGAGTTGATGGTTTTCTTATGAGGAATTTATGACAAAAAGACTAGATTTTTAGAATCCAAAATGAGTTGAGGACACCCTTTCAAAAAGAGTAATCCTTTTAATACAGCTAATAATGCTACAGAATCATCATAGTTGGCATCGGATGACATTAAATGAGTCATTTATTTCCTATATATAATTGAGTCTATCATTTAATGATGATAAGTATCTTAATACAACTGGTATTTGCAAGTGATTTTCTTCTATTGATTCAAGATCCGGGCTCAGTCTCCAAACCAATCAACACCACGATCGACAAACCCAATCCACAAACCAACACACTAAACAAAGTCCCAATCCGGTTGCTTTGAATCTGTCCACAAAGGACTAGAAATGGAGGATGTAATAACCACAAGCCACCAAGGCTGGAGAAGGCAGTGAGCACGAAGTAGGAAGGCAGAGCACAAAGCAAGCCAAATAACCGCCGATTCTCTTCTCAAATGAAAGGGGGCTCTATAATATCTCTCAAGCTACAACAGTAATGGGCAAGCTCATATATAGAATGAAGTATGGGTTTTTAGGGTTAGAACTAATTAGGCCCAATAGAAAATAAGTGGGCTGTCAACAGATAATAGAAGCTATCTAGGATTGGATTGGGCCATGAGCAGCACTAATATAATTAGGCTGCTTTAAATGGCCCAAGTGGGTTACGTGAAAGGTTTACACAATCGTGGTATCGATATACAACTTCAGTCATTGGCCGAGACCTATGAAATATAATCCAACATGAAAACCAATTTAACATCATCACCCGAATTTATTGGGTATCAAAAAACCCAACAGTATTAAATATTATTGCTCAAAAATTTAATTGACAGTATAATTTTGCTAGTAATCAAATAAATAAACAATTATACAAAATTAAATTGACATTAATGTCATGCATATGGACACCGAAACAGAGTTAATTAACGGCGTTGTTCAATGTACGTTGAGAAAATGTACATCTTTTATGTTGTGCGTATTACGGCTGCGTATGCACGTCGTAAAAAGTCAATTAACGGCGCTCATAAGGCTTTATACGGCATGCTTTGTTTGCTGTAAAAAAGGTGAGTGCTTATGGCATAACTTTATACGGCATGCTTTGTTTGCTGTAAAAAAGGTGAGTGCTTATGGCATAACTTTATACGGTGTTCACATGTAAACTGTAAAGAATTTTTTAAGACAAAAGTAAACTCTGTTGTAGTGGGAGTGTCTCATTAGTTAAAGATCCATCTCTCCTCGACTCCATTTTATCTTGTAGTATAAGGATTAAAAAAAAATGTCTATGAATTCCATGCTTTTCACCTAACCACCAATTGTTTTCCATGTTTAAAATAAATTTTGTAGGCATCTCTCCTTTCGTGCATCGAACTTGAATCGGTTCAAACCTTGTGTCATTTGAAATCTTGATTTAATTATTCTTTTTGACATGCATGTTGAGAGAGGATTCAGTTTGAAGACAAACAGGAAGACTTTCTTTTCTTAATTTGGAGCTACTAATTAGTTAGAGATCTTACTCTCCTTTACTTCGTGGAGTTGTAACTCCAGTGCGTTTCAAGTAAGTACCAGTTGTCTTCTATTGACATTAAATTCAGACATTTGTACTCCACTATTCATTGTAATAACATTCACAGGATTTCTTCAGTTTGTTTCAATGTTACTTGGCAGGTTACCTTGAGGGAGATCTGAGATGATCTTGGCCAATAGTTCCTAGTTCTTGATTGAGAAGGTGTGAACTTCGAAGTTTTCTTCATTCTTCTTCATAAATATACCAACTATATCTTCAATGAGTTTTTCTCCTAGTGTTGGAAACAGTACTTCAGAGTGTTCTGATTAATTCACGACATGGTTTCTCCAACATGGATTATATGTGATGGAGTATGGATTGTTTTCTTGATGTTCTATTGTGTTAGTGATACTTGGCAGGGCCAATTGTTCCAAGTTCTAGATTGAGAAGGTATGATCGTTTGCTTTAGTGTTCTTCATAAATTTACCGAGTGTATATTCCAGTGAGGGTTTTTCTCCTAGTATTGGAAACAACTCGCAGTGTTCTAATTATAAAATTATTCTTCTTTGAGATAACACTCTCATAAATATTAATCAATTAAAAATATGCTCTTCGTAAGTAGTGTTTCAATATTCTTCTACAATATTAATGTACAAGTTGTGATTCCTCAAAAATAACGAAATTAAGAATATTGATGTTTAATAATTTATGCTTCTTCAAGAGCAATAATTAAATAAAAAGCTTTAACAGATTTAAAGAAAAACTTTATAGATCCAATATACTTCCAATCTTATACGAACAATATTCATAAAATTAAATTTACTTGGGGTTTTAGGTTCGATAAATGATAAAATTTCAACGAAAATCTTGAAGGGAGTTCACATTTGACACATACGGAGAACTTCAAGTGTGTAGCATGGTGATATTTTAAAGAGAAGAAAAATAAAAAGTTAATAGACTTGTTTGTATTTTATTGAAAATCAAAGTCCTATATTTATAGGTAAGAATTAGGTTGTAGGGGTAAAATAACCATAATATTTAGGACTGTATGGATACTATATTCATTCACTAATTAATATTTAACTTACAACAATTTGAGATGTAGAAGAAATCAAAATAAATATTATGGTTTACTTTTTCTCCTCAATATTTATTGTTATTTAAAATAATTTAATTTGTTTTCTTATGTAGGAAAACCTAGTTTACCTTATTTTTTCAAGTTTAGACTCTATTTAAAGAAGATCTTGCTTTGTAATAAACCTCCTTTGATCATTGAATAAAATTAAACCTTCTTCTTCCAATTTTTTTCTTTTTTCTCGCTTCAAGCTTTACAATCCTAGGCGAGGTGTAGGCATAAAAAAACATTTTTTTTATATTTATATTATTTTAAATTTTTAATCATTCTAAAAATTATTTAATAATTAAAATAATACATACCAAACATCTAAAATTATAAAATATTATATTTACTTAGTAATTCCTATAATTAGTTAATTATACAATTTTCAAATTTTTGAAATGCTAAAACTAGACTATTTTTCATAATTTTTCAAGTTTTCATTTTTTACATTTGTACAAACAAAATCATTTAAAAACTTGAAACTAAAATCAAATAAAACATATTTAAAAAGGAAAAAAAATTAAAATTAATAAAGCATGCCTAGGTGGCAGTTGACCGCTTAATTCACACTTAAGGCAAGGCGTTTCGCCCGCGTCTCTCGCTAGGAATACGGATTTTCCCAGGCGACTAGTCATGCTTTTTAAAATACTGTTTTTTCTGCAATGGAAGATAGAAAGTTTTCCGAATGCCGCTAATGGGCACCATTTGTACGTAGATGGATATGACTTCACTTGTATGTCTCCATAAAAGATAATCAAATAATACCAACTCATTTTAATTATATCTTATCTGAACACAACACGACTTGTCCACGTAAATGCACTCAACTAAAACTAATGGCTTTCTAGCTTGAGCCTGCCATGCCCGCAGAGAAGGTCAATCATGCCAGGATGTATGATGCAACTGGACAGAGAATTCTTGACACAACTCTGGTCTTGGCCATGATTGATGATGCTTGCTGGCAAACCGTGTAATTAGTCATA